TATTGATTTTTTACAGAGAGGGAGGGAGAGAGATAGCTAGAAACGTCCATGAGAGAGAAACACTAACCAGCCGCCTCCTGCACACCCCCCACCGGGGATGTGCCCGCAACCAACGTACATGCCCCTGACCGGAATCGAACCTGGGACCTTTCAGTCCGCAGACCGACACTCTACCACTGAGCCAAACCGGTTTCGGCGAGAGCCAATTTTTTAAAATTTAAACTTCTTCTCACGCCACTTCTTCAAAATAGATTCGCCCAGGCCGTGGTATTTTTGTGGAAGAGCCACACTCAAGGAGCCAAAGAGCTGCATGTGGCTCTTGAGCTGCAGTTTGCCGACCACTGCCCTAGCCGGTTTGGCTCAGTGGATAGAGCGTCGGCCTGTGGACCCAAGGCTCCCCGGGCTCGATTCCAGTCAAGGGCATGTACCTTGTTTGCAGGCTTGTCCCCGGCCCCAGCCATGGTCGGGACTCGTGTTTCTCTCACATCAATATTTCTTCTGTCTTTCCCTTTCTCTTCCACTCTCCCTAAAACGCAATGGAAAACATCCTCAAGTGAGTATTTAAAAATAACCATCATCATCATCATAAACTGCATTGTTATTGAACACTCATTGCATTATTGGAAGTTTGAAGTCTTTTTTTATACCGCTGTATATGTATTGGTGTCATTAAAACAGCTCTTACAAACACTCATTTTTGCCGAAACCGGTTTGGCTCAGTGGATAGAACGTCGGTCTAAGGACTGAAAGGTCCCAGGTTCGATTCCAATCAAGGGCAGGTACATTGGTTGCAGGCACATTCCCAGTGGGGGATGTGCAAGAGGCAGCTGGTTGATGTTTCTCTCTCATCGATGTTTCTAACTCTCTATCCCTCTCCCTTCCTTTCTGTAAAAAAAATCAATAAAATGTATTTTTTTTTTAAAACACTCATTTTTCTTGGCCTTTTACGTTATTAAAGAGCTCTGGTCCCTTAGTGAGTCACAGGTGGGCAGGCGTGCTGACGGCTCTCCTGTGGAGCTGGCTCTGCCTCCGGAGCACAGGGAGGCCCTCCTGCCTGATGTGCAGCGGTGAGACGGGCCCAGGCCCCCAGCAATGCAGATCTTCCTGGGCGTGGGCGCCCTCATCCGTGGGCAGCCCTGTGGCCCCAGCACACACAGAGCTCCGAGCATCCCTTCCATCTGAGAATCTCTGCCCATCGATATCATACTCTGCCAAGTCTCCACTTCCGCTGAACATGCATCCTTGTCTTGTGTTATTCTGAAAATTTCTTTGTTTGTGGCTCTAACTTTTAAAGTTCTAAATCTATTTGATGACCTTCTTCATGCTTTTCCTCCTACCTGAACCTGAGAAGAAACAAACAAGCAGAGCTTCTACGTGAGTGGGTGGGCGAAGATTTACTCACCCCAGGAACGGAGTCCTGAGGGATGTGCTGTGGTGTGGAGCTGTGACATGTCGTACAGGCGTGTTTTGAAAACACTGACAGTGAGGACCCAGGGTACTGGCTATCATCACACACTTAAGACTGGACCGTGTTTGCTCTGAACCTCATCTCCAATCCCCATCACCTCACCCAAACCTTTCTGTAACGTCCGTCTCCTCCTCACTCTTCCCAGATTCTGAAACAGCCGGAGTCAGTTCCGTGTGGTTTCATTTTATATTTGCCTCACGCCTTACGCATTGTTGTATTTAGTCAACAATAAGGAAAGTTAATATCTTTTTTATTGTCATATCAATGGGGGGATTTCCTGAAGATATTAACTGCTGCAAATAAAGGATAAAATCCAGTTCTTCTTGAGCATACATACGACTATGGTGAAGACCAGTATTCACGGTCAAAGGTAGCCTTCATGTTTTTAGTCATCGCTGTCTTCTGGGAAACATAATCAGCATGAAATATTTAAGAATTTATTGACTTTGAAAACTTTAGAGGCTTCCAGTCAAGATGGCAGGGTAGGTAAACACAGTACTCACCACCTCCCACAACCATTTCAAAATTTAAACTGAATACAGAACAACCATCATTCAAAACCACCTGAAATCTATTAATAGCTGAACAGAAGTCCTGCAACCAAGGAATTAGAGAGGAAGCACACGGAGACTAGTAGGAGGGGCAGAGACACGGGGTGGAATTGCAGACCCGGCTGGACTGACACCCACGTGCAGTGTTTTTTATCAGCAGGGCTTTCCAGGCTGTGGAGGTCTCCCTGCCTCACACCAGGCCCCCAACCTGGGTTTCCAGTGCCGGCAAGAGAAGCCCCCATAACTTTGGGCTGTAAAAAACAGCCGGGATTTTGGCTCAGTGACACGGAGGCTGTGGGAGTCCCAGGAAGTTCTCTTAAAGGGCCTGTGCATGGACTTACTCAGAATCACTCCCTCTGAGCTTGAAAGGAACCTGGGACATTCGGGGAGGAACTAACTTGTCTGGAACCAGGGCAAGAGCTGGAGGGGCAGCTTTCTTCAAGACGGAGGCCTGGCAGAGGCCATTGTTCCTTTGCTGAGCCCTCCCTGCCACAGGGCTGACAGGCTGCACCATATCAGAATCTCCATCAACCTGGTTCACACTTTTATCCCTGCCCTGGTGATTCCCTGAGACCCCACCCCTCCCTGCTTGCAGGCTCATCCAAGCCATTTCCAAGGGCTTTTCCATTCAACTGGCCTCTCTTGTCTCATCCTTTGGACTTTCCTAAAATCTCTCAAACAAGCAGCAGCTGGCCTCAGCATGCCCTGTACTCTCAATAAGTGGCCCCAGGCCTGGCACTAGTTGCAGCTCACTCTGGTTCATAGCTTGGCCTCTCCTGGGCACCGCCAAACTCAACACAAATAGCAGCCATTTGCAGATTGCTTTGTAGCTCATGCTGGGTTGCCCTGGGCAGGGCATAGGCATAGGCTGACTTTGTACCTTCCAGGAGGCCCCAGAGCCAGTGCTCCTAGTGGATAGCTTCACACAACACCCGATCACAACCCTACACATCCCTGAGTGACACACTCAAGGGGCAGACTCGTGAGCACCAAACCCCACTGAAGCAAGTCCTGCTCCATAGGAGAGTCTCCTGCACAGCAACTTTTCAGCTGTAATTGCAGCTGGTCCTCACAACCCATTAGCCTGGTGTCAATCCCTCCCAGTGATGCGAACATCAATCAAGGCTCAACTGCAACAGGCTGTGCACACAGCTCACACGGGTACACCTGGAGTGCCCAGTCAGGTGACTGAGGAGGCCAAGCTACTGGGCCTACAGGACACCTATTAACCATGGTCACTCTACCAAGTCTGGGACACATAGCAGTTCTACCTAATGCATAGAAACAAACATGAGAAGTAGACACAATGTGAAGACAAGGAAACATGTCACAAAAGAAAGAACAGAAAAATAATTAAGTGAAATGGAAGCAAGAAAATTACCAAATACAGAGTTCAAAACAGTGATTATAGGGCTGCTCAAGGAACTTAATGAGAACTTCAAGGAACTTAGAATTTCAACGAAATTCATGAGAACATCAAAAACAAAAAAAGAACCAGTCAGAAATTAAGCATACACTAACTGAAATGAATATTTTACAGAGCATCAACAATAGGGTAGAGGATGCTGAGAATGAAATATAAGGAAGCAATAAACACCCAATCAGAAGAGCAAAAAGAAAAAAAAATTTAAAAAATAAGAAGTTAGTGTAAGGAGCATCTGGGACAGTTTCAAGCAACAACATTTACATCATGGGGGTACCAGAAGGAGAAACTGTGTTCACTTCACAGGTGGGCAGCATATATTTGAAAAAATAATGACAGAAAACTTCCCCTACTTGGTGAGAGAAATATACTTACAAGTCTAGGAAGCACAGAGAGTCCCAAACAAGAGGAACCCAAAGAAGCCCACACCAAGACACATCATAATTAAAATGCCAAGGGTTAAAGACAAAGAGAGAATCTTAAAAGCAGAAGAGAAAAGCAGTTAGTTACCTACAAGGGAGTACCCATATGACTGTCAGCTGATTTCTCAACAGAAACTTTAAAGGCCAGAAGGGAGTGGCAAGAAATATTCAAAGTGATGAAAAGCAAGAGCCTACAACCAAGATTAGCAAAGCTATCATTTAGAATTGAAGGTCAGATAAAGAGCTTCACAGACAAGAAAAAGCTAAAGGAGTTCATCACCAACAAACTACCGTGTTTCCTCGAAAATAAGACCTAGCACATGGAAAGATAAGATATCCCCTGAAAATAAGACCTAGTGCAACTTTGGGAGAAAAAATCAATATAAGACACTGTCTTATTTTTGGGGAAACAGGGTAGTATTACATGAAATGTTAAAGAGTAGTGAAGAAGGAGAAGGGGAAGGTGAAGAAAGAAAGAAAAGGTTAAAAATATGAATAATAGAATGGCAATAAATGTGTACCTATCAACAATTGAATCTGAAAGTCAAAATAAATGAATAAGAATCTAATGAACAACATAAACTGATGAATAGAATAGACCCCAGAGGCATGGACACATGAAACAGACTGACCAATCTCAGCGGGAAAGGGAGTGGGGATGGGGAGAGATTAACCAAAGAACCTATATGCATATATGCATACCTGTGGACACCGACAATATGGTGGTGAGGGCCTGGGGCCGGGCAGGAACCAGGTGGAGGGGCAATAGAAGAGGTATATCTACAATACTCTAACAATAAAGGCTTAAAATAAAGGAAGTTGTTCATTTAATTGAGTTTACATTTTTGGATTTTGTTTACAAATCTTATGCTTTCAAGCCCCAGAAGTTTCTGTTCTCCTGAAAGGCTTCTCTGGTGTTTTGTGCTTTTGTCTGCAGAGGACAGAAGACGCATTAATCATACGTTCCTCTGTGGTGTCAGGTATTTTGTTTGTATGTTGCATTTTTCCCGTTTACACTATACATACACCCTTCGAGCTGACCAGGGAGGGTGGTGCCTGGTCTCCCCTGGCGGCCCCTGCACATGGTCCTGCAGAGCTCCCAGGTGCGTGAGTGACGATGTGTGTTCATTCCGCAGGTGGGCAGCATCAAGCGGGACATGACCTTCACGTTTCATCCGGAGGACCTGAAACGGGACTCGAGTAAAAAGCTGTCTCACCAGCCCTGGTTCCCCTTGGCCATGGAGGAGGACGGGAAAGCCGCCGACAGCAGGCCGGCCCCCCGCGCCCCGGACCACGACAGGGACAGCGCCCGCTCCGTCTGCCTCCTGGAGCAGAAGCGGAAAGTGGTCTCCTCCAGCATCGACGTGCCCCCGGCAAGGTAAGGCCGCGGCCTCCGCCCGCCCCGGAACGCCGTGCGAAGCCGAGAGACCTGGGAAAGGTTTTCTCCAGGAACTGGTTCTGGTGCTTGTGTGAAACAGCTTTTCAGAACCGAGCCATAGCCGCGGTAACTGGAACTCCTTTCGTGCTAGAAAAGCAAATTTTATTAGGTTTTTGGCAAATGAATAGTAAAGAGAAAAAAAGTGGGGAAGTAGCGGGGGGGGGGGGGGGAAGGAGAGGGGGGAGGCATTGAAGACAGGGGGTGCAGGCTGAGCACAGCTTAACAGCAAGGACGCTGCCTCGGGCCAGCTGTGGCCAGGTCTGCCCAGGCCTTTGAGGAAAGGGTGGTCTTATGTTTTAAAGGGTTGAAAAAATGAAGCACATGCGGCATAAATCAGAGGTGGCCCGAAAAGCCTGACGTATTGAGGTGTGACTCGGTACAGAAGAGGTTTGCCATGGCTTATATCAGGGTAATCCTTTAAACTCGGATCTACCTTGGAACTGGGCCGGGGGTTTGATCTGAAATGCCAACAGCTTGTGTCACGTTATAACTTTACTTACGTCACATCGGTGCCTTTGGACCAGCATCATGGCAGGATGACAAGAGCACGGACAGGGACACACACCGAGACCTTTTTGCTGATTTTCCTGCTTATTGTTTATCTCACCTAGATATGGCGGGAGGGAGGGGGGCATAAAAAAATTCACATGTCTGTCATAGTGAGTATTGTGATTCCAGTTTACAAACAAGTAAACAGACTCAGAAAGGTGAGGTGACCGCCCGGGAGCACACGTGTCACCAGAGGCCCTGGCTCGGGTGCGTTTATAACCCCAAGTGAGTTCTTACCCTTGTTGCCGTCATCCGTGTTATGGAAGAGCCTTCATTTGCTGCCATTTACACACCACGATGCCTGAAAACACATGGATATTTTTAATATCACTTGCTCTCCAGCCTCAGAAAGAAAACAGCTCAAACGTTGGGCACACCTTATTAGACAGCCTGTTCCTTGGGTACTTGTTATTCTCTTTTGCCAGATATTGGTGTGTGTGTGTGTGTGTGTGTGTATGTGTAAGTACTGATACTTAAATTGGTTGGATTTCACCCTGGTAGCAATTACAGTTTGGTTATGCAAAGTAGTGACTGTCTTCTAATGGTAACTCTGAGGCTAAAGAAATTACCAGCAAACCGGTAGCAATGGGGACAGAGGACATTTGGCCCCAGGGACCCCCAGACCTAACAGCGCTCAGGAGAAGACGCCAGGCTGTGGTGATTGCTGTTGGGAAGAAGGGAAACGCACCACCCGGCACCGTTGGTCTGCAGCGTTTGAAAACACAGTGATGTCATATTTGTCCCTCGCTGGGTAAAATGAGATCATGTTTGTCTTTCGGGATCCTTCTGGGAATTGTATAGTCTGAATTTCAGAAGCTCTCAACTTTGTGTTCGAAATGAGAAAATTACCTGAGCTTCCAGAGGTATCCTGTCTGCGCAATGGAGAATGTGACCCCACGTGGTCAGTGGCGTTACCTGCACGTTTCCTTGGTCTGTATGTATTGTGCACCTGTAGCAAGTCTCCTGTCTCGGTTTTGGAAATGAATGAGAGATTAGGCAGGGGGGTCATTGCTCCTGAGTCTCCGGAAGCCCAGCCGCTCCTGAGCAAATGTGTAACTGCATGAACCAGGCCCGGGTAACCAGCGTGAAGCTGAGGCAGGAGGGGGCGTAAAGAGGTCGCTCTAGGCTCATCCCAGCCAACATTAAGAAGGTGTGCAATGGGAGAGAGGTCCATGGTGGCTCTGTCCACTCTGTCCTTCTCCACCCCGTTAGTGATTCAGGCCACCAGGTGCCTGCTGTTCCTGCCTCCTGCACAGGCAGTCTGTGTGATGCAGCCGCCAGGTGATCTTTCCAAAGCACAGGCAGAGGCGGTGGGCGGAGGACGGAGCCAGGAGAGGGCCGGGACCAGGGGAGTGGACATTACGGCCTAATGAGCATGCTGTGCCATCAGCACACTGCCAGGTCCGCCAGCCAGGGACTCGCCATCTGAGTCAACACATAAGCCCAGGTATTCTTTGCGGTGTCTAAGTCACCCGGGAGACCAGAGTTCATGGCAGACTTGGGAGCTGAAACCAGTTTAAAAGAGACACGTCTTCTCTCCGTTCCTATGCTGGGCAGAGTTTCATCGAATGGGGTGGAATGGTGGGACTCCTGTCTGTTGTTTTTAAAATTGGCTCTTCCTTCCAGCCTTGTGCCTGTGAGTGAATTTCTATGATTTAAATGCACATATACTGCAGCCCATGTTCCCAATGCCCGACAGAAACATGGGGGAAGTTAGCACGCTAAGACAGGAGCCTCTGGAGCCCCAGGCCTCTCTCCTGGGCTGCTGCTGGCACCAGGGCCGACGCTGTCCTGGCTGCCCCTTGGGAGAGCGGAGGGTCTGTGGCAAGCATTTGGCTCAGGGTACGGGTGTGTGTGTGTGTGGTGTGTTTTAAAGAAGACTCTCCACACGTATTTTGTTGACTTGTCATTCAAGATTCATCAATTTCTAATTATTGTGTTTTATATCCTTTTATTATAAGCACTAAATCATGTCAAATTAGAATGTGCCAACTTTCAGAATTGCATTGTGAACTTAGAATTTGGGTCATTAATACGAATTTTTTAAGTAAAGTAATTTAAGGCACTGCCATTTTTGGGGGGGTATGCTTCCTGGACCAGTTGGGTAGTTATAAAGTGAAACGCTACACGTGTGACATGCCCACCTTTGCAGGGATCACCTGCAGAGTCTGGGCCGTTCATAAATGTTCTTTCTTGTGAATCCTTTCGGCCAGCAAACTGGACAATGTTTAGCCACCGTGACCTCAGGGGGACCTGCCGTACTGCTGTGTTAGAGGGACCTCAGCTCCGTTCCAGAATGTTCCGGAGAGCTGTCCTTCGATGTCTGTGGCACCGTGCCGTGGTCACCTCTCAGACTGGGTTTGCATTTACATTTGATTCAGCATCTTTTTTCCCTCCCTGTACCTGTTCATAATGTAAACCATCCATCAGGTGTGGAAATAATGGGACTCCAGTGCCTCCCACCACCCACCTCCCTCTGCCAGTACGGAGCTGGGTTCCGTTTTTATTGCAGAAAGGCAAACAATCATTAAAGGCGCCCTGAACGGGCGCGTCACGAGCTGGAGCGCCACCTGTGGCGAGTGGCCACTGTGCCCCTTGGGTAACGCACCAGCTCCCTGCATCTCAGCACAACGCGTCACCTCCGACAGAGGCTGGGCTTCGTTTCCTGCTCAGACTGATGGCGTGGAGCAGGCGTGCTCTGCGGCCGAGTTCCCCCAGGTGCGGTCCCTGTGAGGAGAGACGTGGCAGGTCTGGCTCCGCAGGTATTTCACGGGGAAAACTCAGCAGCATGGTTCCACGGTGTCCCCTAGAGGGTGACTCCCAGCTGTGCGTAACCTATTTTGTGCAGTTACAGTTCTTAAAATGTTTAAGTCCCATCTAAGTCCAAGGCCGGTTAAATGATAGTGTCACAGTTTAGTTCTTTAAAAGCATAAAAGCAGCTTCTCCCGGGGAGCAAGCACCTGTCCCCGGTCCCCGGATGCTGTGGCTTCCCCAGCGGGCAGCCGGAGGCGTCCACACCAGCCCGCGGGCGGGGCTTGGCGGGGCCCGCACACCGCATGGGTTTGCGTATGCTTCTTCCCATAATGAGCAGCTGGTCAATGCGTGCCGCATGCGAACTTGGAAATGGGCCACATTTTTTTTAAAAGACTCCTAAGAAGGAAAGGTTTACTTTGTTGCTTTGTTATTGGCTTAAAATGTTACCGGTTCTTTTAAACTTTAATTCCTGTTTTCTTCCCTTCTGTGGGGAGTTCTGCTGGCAGGTGGGGAAGAGCTGAGGCTCAGGCTTCACTGGGAATGCCTCGGGAATTTGATTTTGAGTTGGGTTATAGAGAGCTAGTCAGTGATGTCTTCGAAACACATTTCAGACCGCTTCGGGAGCACAGTTTTAAGCAAGAGGAGAATTCGTGAAGAGTGTGTTTTAATACCGTGGGCTCAGGAAATCCCAAATGTATAAGCGAGAGGACAGGACTGTCGCCTAAGGCAGCGGTCGCCTGTCGGTGGCCCGCGGGCCGCTGGTGGCCCCTGAGGTCCGAAAGGTTGGCGAGCGCTGCCCTAAAGGCAGGAGACGGGGACTCTTCCACTCCACGGCCGCACGCCCTGGACACAAAGACTCCATTGGTCATATTTTTACAGACGCTCCGGGCACGTGGACCGGTTGAGCTCTCTGTCCCGTCCGGCAGGGACACCGAGAAGCATTGGCTTCATCATCAAACACGGCCTGGTCTCAGGGTCTGCACCCACCTTCGAGCTGGGCCTCCCAGTGAAACCGAACCTCCAGTTCAACTCCGAAGCATTTTGTGATTTGATTTAATACATCAGCCTAATGCATTATTATAATGATTCCTTGCAACTTTTTATATATATTCTCAAACAGAACGCTACAGTTTGGGATGTTAAACAGCACTTCCAGGCTTTATTTAGTTTCGGGATAAATACCCACTTTTTTCAAAGAGGCAAATGGTTACCCCATTTATTCTACAGCAGTCAGATCCAGTTGCTTCCTATGGGTGATTCGTGTCACCACCACTGAGTCCCATTCTCCTCACAAGAGGCATTTGCAAATGTCCAGGGGGACAGTTTTGGTTGCACAAAATAGTCCTGCACAGTGAATACCTCCTGCCCCAAATGCCAGTTCACCCTCGCTAGGAAATGTGGATGGGTTTCCTATCCTATATAATAAAAGGCTAATATGCAAATTGTCCCCTCGGGAGTTTGACTGCTCGCTATGACATTCACTGACCACTAGGGGGTGGCACGGAACAAAGGAAGTCCCCAGCGGACAGCTGGCAGCCAGGGAAGGAAGGCCCCGATTGGCCCTGATTGCTGGCCAGGCCTAGGGACCCTGTCTGTGCATGAAGTTCGTGCCCCCGGCCTCTAGTGTATGATAAAAT